TCTTTCCCTCCTCCTGGCCACGTCTGATATGTGTAAGTAATGTGCGCAGGTAATGTGATTGAGCTGTCAAGAAGGTGGGCTGTGTATTTATTCAAATTGCTTGGTTATGGATATAACTGTGTTGCCGTTGCAGGAAGCAGTGCAAGTATTGATTAAGCACTCAGCCGATGTCAATGCTCGGGACAAGAACTGGCAGACACCATTGCACGTGGCGGCTGCAAACAAGGCAGTGAAGTGTGCGGAAGTCATCATCCCCATGCTGAGCAGCGTCAACGTCTCTGACCGAGGGGGGCGGACGGCGTTGCACCACGCAGCTCTGAATGGCCACATTGAGGCGAGTTGTTTAAGAGCATAATTGATGGTTGGTTTATTTATTGATTTTCCCAGTTCAAACAGTTGACCTGCTGTGCCTGGGTCTAGACTGAGCCCCATATCCCTGACCCTCACGATTCCTGTCATTCAGCTGCTTTGCAAACTGTGTGACAGGTTTCCTACCTGCAGAAACAAGATGGTGGCTGGCAAGTACCTGTGTGGAGCCAACATGCGAGTGAGGTGTGCATGCAGACTTGGAGAGCTGGCTGTGCCACCGGCTCTGGCAACTCAAGTGTGTCCTTGGCTTTTTTTGAGCTTGACTGCCAGCAAAAATAAGAGTGCCAGAATGGAAAGAAGGGAAAACTGGTGGATTAATTTCATACTGAAGAAATGTTTGGCTGTGTGAGATCCAGTTGGTCTGCTTTTCTAATTAGTCTTCTAGAAAATGTGCTCTGGTTTTTCTACTTATCTCATACAAGCCAACCCTTCTAGTCTAATTACTGTTTCTATATGAAAAAAAATACTCTTGAAAATAAAGCCCCTATGTAAAGGGTTTTGCTAGCATCTTTAGATCCATGTGCAAGGATCCTCATTTGCCCATTCCACATCTGAAGGTTTACATATGGAATAAAACCTCTTAGACTGGAACAGTAGGCTTCTGTCAACAAAAGTTGATCAGTTGTACTGTAATTAAAAGAAGGAAGAGGAACCTTAGTTCTTGTAAAACGGTGATGATGTTTGGCCTTTAAAGTACTGCACTGTAGGAAAAAGATATTAATGCTTGAGTCTAACCATCATAATCTAAAGCTCCTTAGCTTTTGGATAGAGTATATCAGAAATGTTAACTGAATATATGCTGTTATTGGCCATCTCTGCAGTAAAGCAGTGTATGAGAGGAAGACAATCGCCCCGCTCTGTAATTTATGGGTTTAGAATGTTTTGCACAAAAAGACAGTTGTTGAATGTGTTTTCCATTCAGTTTCCTTTCTTACTTTTTCCCTGTTTTTTCTTAACATTTAATATTGGATGATAGGCAATGGGGGAAACAGCTTTTCACCTCTCAGACATGCTGTCTAAAAGGCCAGCATCGTGTGTGAGGCAACCTGGTGCCTGTTCACACTGCCATGGGGCATGCGGGAACTTAATGAAAATCACTGTGGCATGGCAAGAAATAGACACTCCTTACTGAAAGATGAGGTGGATTTTGGGGTTTGTTACCTCACGGTCTGGAGGAATCTTGTCCCAATCCACAAGAAGACCCCTTACATTGGTCTTAACAGTAAAAACTAAGAGCAATGTTTCTCTTCCAGGCCTGTTTCTCTGTCAGGTTGTTTGCCAAGCTGAATTTGAAGCACACTGGAGCATGCTCTCAGCCCCTGCTGTGGACACAGAACTTATCCTGGTTACTTGTGGCCATCATTGGACCATGACATTAGTGCGCATGGCTTTGAACAAATTTATCGTTCAAAAGCAGGAGTTTGTGATCCCAACTTTGTTGCTAAAACGATTTGTTACAAACTGTTGAGCGTGTGATCTACAGGGTTGGTTTACTTGCTGTTTTTGCTTCTAGATGGTGAACTTGCTCTTAGCCAAGGGGGCAAACATCAACGCTTTTGACAAAAAGGACAGAAGAGCTCTCCACTGGGCAGCGTACATGGGTAAGGCTTGTATTGTTGCTCCTTCTTTTTAATTTCCTGTTCACAAACCAGTAGCGTGTTTTACAAGGGACAAGAGCAGACCTGGCCATGAAAAGTGAGCATTGTATTTACCCTGAAGAGGGAAGGGTTCAGCTGATCTAAATACACACATTTACAGTTTTGCATCTTGTGAGAACTTGACTGTGATTTCCCTTTTAACACAGTTAATGGTGGGCTTTTTGTGTTGCTTTTTTCATTTTGGTCCCTTTATCCTGACTCTGATTCCAGCCTGAAGTATATTAGGGCTTGAAAAAATACAGGTTATATTTGTTTTGGTTTTTGCTAAAAACTATTTTATATAAAATGCAGATAAATACGATCATAAATTTTGCTGTTTATCTATATTTGTAAGTAGCTAAGTTATTGTAGTCTTAGTGCTTCATAGCCTTTCTTCCTGTTAGCAGCAAATGTCGTCTTTTATTCCAGAGTGGACAGGAGCAACTGATTTGTCTATTCAAAACATCAGTGGTGTTACCAAATACTGCTTAATTAAATCAATTGACCTTATAATTCCTTTTAAGTTGAAGGAAAATTTCGCGTAGTGGGGGCATCATAATTTAAAAATAGTAGAACAGGATTGCCTGTGATAGTTGTCATGCTTGTTCAAGAGCTTTTGTTGGCCAAGCAGTATCTTCCAGATTATAATTTGTGAGGTGTTATGTGCCCTGGGCCAGGAACTCTTTCATCTGACCTGTCAAAATCTTGATTTTAATCCTGGCACTTTTGGAATGAGATAATAGGAGATTCAAACTGTGAGAAAAGCATATTGTGCGTATTTTTGATATACACAGACAGATGGAAAGACTCTTGCCAATAAATGTGATTTGGCTTTTGAGCTAGTGAGCTTTGAACTCCTCTCTGAAAAGGTAAAAGGCTTTTACACTGTGCTGTGCAATTCCACATCTCTTTTGCTCTTAATTATTTTCAGAAATTCATGATGTACTTTTCAAAATCTTTAGATAACATTTAAGGCCTGAACTGGCAATGGGATTTAGGAGTCTGTAGTGTAATTTGGACAGAATTTAGATGATGAGATGAGCATCTTACCATGTAAAACCTCACATAGCTTCTTGAATGCTTAAATACCTTTGGGCACTTTGGACTTTGTCCATTAAGTTTCCTAGGTCCTACACATGACCAGAGCTGCCTCTGTCATGGAAGTGCTGCACTCGGATGGTGCACAACTTTATGTGGTGTTTGACATAATACATTTTTAATTCTAAGAAAGACAGCTCTGCTTCAACATGAAGCAATAAGGACTACTCCTCAGTTAGCCTTGATTTAATTTTGGTGGTGAGGGCACTATCTGGGAAGGCAGGCCAGATGCTTTGAGACCTTCAGGGAGAGGAGGAAACCAAAGATACGGGTGGGTTATAAGTTGCATTTTTAGATGCTCAGCTCTTCCCCTGTATTCTATAGGGAGATCCTAATTCAGGGGTGGGCATTTCACTCCTGAAGACAGATGTGGTTTTGTTCTTTTAATGACTGGAAAACTAATTCACTAAAGAGAAATTTGACACATCTGGTGAAAGTGAATGCATGGATTTCTTGATGAGACCTGGAGCTAGGATTAAGAACGTCTAGGAAAATGCTGGAGTTTTTTCCCTTGTAAAACTATGGGTGCATTGTGAAATGGCAGTGGAGGGGCAGTGCATTAGCAATAAAGCAGTAATTTGGGAGAAGTGATGCTGTAGGAGGGCATACTCATTGATTACTATCTTTCATCTTTTGAAGGTCACCTGGAAGTTGTTGCCTTACTGATTAATCATGGTGCAGAAGTGACTTGTAAAGACAAGAAGGGTTACACCCCACTTCATGCAGCTGCATCCAATGGGCAGATTAACATTGTGAAACACCTCCTTAATCTGGGGGTAGAGGTATGTGGTAATGTGCTCTTTGTGGCTTCCATGTTTCTCCATATTTGGAGATACTCTTTTCTTCTTTCTTATGGATGCTGCTACAGACATTGGCAGAGCTTCTAAGGAAAATAGTTCCCATTTTCTGGACCACCTTGTGCTTCGTGTGGTTTATTGGTTTCAGAGCCAGGAAACATTCCGGAATACAAATTGTCTGATATGGACAGTAAATTCCAGGCCACCTTGCTGAAGAAATCGGGAAATATATGCTCTTCCTGCAGAGGAAGAGGGAATAGTGAAATTTCCCTTGGTGCAGCATTCCCTTTGATATGATAAGCAGTTGTTCTTAATGTATATACTGTGTATTTTACTAAAAAGCAGTTCAGGCTGTTTAAGTTTAGGGATCTGTATTTCCTCTGTAGTTGATGGAGAGATGGAGAAGGATTATTTTCACTCTGGAAAAGAACTTTTTTTCAGGGCACAGACTTATCTTAGTGTAATATTGTCAACTCAGTGGTTCAAAGCAGCAGTGAGATGACCAGAAGAGCCTGCGCTGGTTATTTAGAGATGTCAAATAAAGCCATTGCATTTGCCATTGCATTTTCAGCTGACTTGACCTGCCAAAAAAATGTCGGAAGTCCCATGTTCACAGGCTGTTGACTGTGAAGTTGAAGGGAATGGGTGTTTCTTATTATTAGCAGTACTAAGTACCTTTAATTTCTACTTTCTCCACCACTGGGGGGATGATCTTTGAGACGTCTGTATTTCATGGAAGGGTATTTACGTCATCCCTGAGTCTTTTGTACAATCTGTCTTGTCCTATTTTACAGAACAGCAGTTGAATACTAAGCTGGTGGTCAAGAATTAACATAATCTTAATTAGATCTTTGTAATAATGAGCTAGTGAAAATGGTTTCTTACTGAAGTGTAAATGGCTGTGCAGTTTCACCTTCCCTTCACTCAGACACCTTTAATACCTTCCCAAAAGAAATCTGTGGAAAGAGCTCTTAAGCCTGGTTCTGTTCACAAAAATTCAGTAGTCAGTGTTTTAGTTTTTTTTTCATAAAGATTGTGAGCTTTTTATTTATCCTACTTTTCCACTTATATGTAAAAGCTTTCCAGCTTCTTAGGACTTTTTGTCATCATCATCATTACATAGTCCTGCTGTCAGCTTTAAGCTTTGTACTGGCTTTCAGAAATTGCCAGTAGAATAAAAAGTTAATAATAATAAAGGTAAAGCATTCCAAATTAAGCTCTCTGGAAGTATATTTTTGTCAATGAAATTTGCTGGTGAGAAATATGGCCTATGACAGGTCAAGCCTCCAGCTATTTCCGTTTGCTGAACGTGATGCATTATGTAAAATGGTAAGCTGATGTCTGTAATTTTAACTATGTCTCTGTGTCTCTTTTTAGATTGATGAAATGAACATCTATGGAAATACTGCACTTCACATTGCCTGTTACAACGGTCAGGATTCTGTTGTTAATGAGCTGATTGACTATGGTGCTAATGTAAATCAGCCTAATAATAATGGATTCACTCCCTTGCATTTCGCTGCTGCCTCCACTCATGGAGCACTGTGTCTTGAACTACTAGTGAATAATGGGGCAGACGTTAACATTCAGGTAAAACTTGTATTGCAGCCTGTCAGTTTTACTTTATCCTATTTTGCATACCTCAGGAGACTGGAAGCTATAAAAACGAGTATAGCGTGGCTTTAAATCCTTGATGAAAGTAGAGTGATGCTGAGAATGTTGATCACTAAACTGTTTGGATGAGATGACTTCCCAGCAGAGGACCTCTCAGTGCCTTGATAAATATAATGACAGCTTTAAACTTTAGGCCATGCACTCTCCTGAAGGCATTGATCACTACTAAATTATAGTCTCAGGAGCTCTGTCAAAATCTTATCTCAGGGAGTGGTGGTAGCCAAGGAACTATTTCCTTCCCCCTATAATATGGATTTAATTGAACCTGACTCTTACAAGTTCTTTCTGACTTTCCTGGGGAAGTACAAACTGAAGGTTGTTTGTTTACCTATTTTAGATCCTGAGTTTACAAAGTCTGATTCTGTTCAGGGTATCTGAATGCTTTTGAGGTATAGTTGATACATCTTGATGAAGCTGAAGGGTACTTGCTGTTATCCAACAGAGGGTACTGGTATAGGTACCAGAAGACTTGAGATCTCCGAGTTCATATAAGATTTTGACTGCTTTACTTTAAACTCTGTGTTTCAGTTTCCCATCTGTACAACTGGTCTCCTAGCATTTAACACGTCTGGCAAATCCCTTGAGATCAGTGAATAGTCAGTGCACTGTTTAAGCTCAGAATTATGAAAATGAAATTAGGGATTCTGCTTACCAACGAATGCAAAATCCCATGCCAATAAACATGAAGTGATGTGAGTGGAGAGGCTGGTACCCTTGCCTTGCTATTTTCTCAGCTCCTTGGCTTCTCCAATCTCAGTTTCTTTCTCTAGAACTCAAAATACTGATCTCTACTCATCGTACCTTTCCTTTCATATGCCTTCCCTGTTTTCTAATTGTCTTTTGTAGACATCCTGGTTTTGATTGTGTGGAAATTTATTAACCTAAACTGTTTAGTATAGTGGCTTTTATTCTGGGATGTATCTATAAAATGTGGTTTGATAAACAGGATCTAGTTCTGGAATCTCTGAGATTGCTCTTACTTAGCTTTATGGTTCCTTTGCTTTTCTTTATTCCTCTCACTGCAAGGTTTAGGGAAAATAATGACTGAATGGGAAATGTTACTTAAAAATAATATTCAAGAATAATATGTCCTATATCTGTAGGTTTCTAGCAGGTATTGTGTACAGCCAAGCTGTAAGGACAGGCTCCGCTCCAGCCCATTTCCTATTCATTGCTGAGGAACTGTTTTACTTATATGCTTATACCTTCTGCATTTACCATCATGTATAGATTCAGTTCTACAGACTTTTGAAGCTAGTGGAGGTTTTACCTGGAGAATAGCTGTAGGATGTTGAGCTGAAAGACTTCAAATTGTTACCACCGCTTTACGTGATTGTTTTTCTGTTTTGTTTCTGTTAGAGTAAGGATGGGAAGAGCCCGCTGCACATGACAGCTGTCCATGGGAGGTTCACACGGTCGCAGACCCTCATTCAGAATGGTGAGTTTCTGTGCCTGTTTAATGACTCTCCAAAAGATCAGGCATTTACAAGGTTGCAATTTTTAGTTATTCTGACCTAGAGCGCCAAAGGACTGTTCTGAGAGCTGCTTAGTTCTCAACTTCTGGCTTTGAGCTGCACTGACAGCTCTCATTCTAGCATGTCATCACACGTTGAGATTTTAGTTGTTAAAAAAATCCCATATTCCTCCAGCTGATGGTGGTCCAGGTGATCTGTTGTGATTCTTAACCTGAAAACAAGGTTCAAAGCTGTATTTAGGTCTTTTTTTTTTCGCTGAGAAGCAGGCACAATTTTCTTTCTGAAATTATTTAAAAACTAATAGAAGAACAAGTTTCTAGTTGTCCTCCTTTGGGAGCTCTGGTGTTCTTAGAGCTCAGACCATTTTCTCTACCCTCCACTCAGCAGCGGTACTTCTCTCACCTCCTTAGCTCCACCCCTCACCACTGTCTTCATTAAGTGTTGAACAAATACTCAGGAAGGTGGACCGGCGCCATCTTGTTTGTTCTGGTATGGCCAGGATTCCTGATTATCAGTCATTTATCAGATATCTCTTTTGTCCAAGAATGCTACAGAGTATAACAGACATTATTGTTGGAGATCTGGCAGAGGCCTCTTTCCGACTGACAGAGGATGCTATTACTGATTGTTTACTTACGCTTCCCAGTTTTGGCCACTATACCAGACAGGATGGTCTGGGGTTTATTGGTTGGTTGATTGTTTTGTTGGTTTGTTTTCCAAAATCCCAAACTTGGAACTTAAGTGTGAGATGTTGAAGATGGCTGAACAGTTACGCTGTAAATGTAATGACACTTACATATACACAAGTTTGTATTTAAAAATGGAGATCTTCAGTACATTGTGCTTCTTTCAGGTCACCATGCAAATTGTTGTCATATCTCTCCTTGGATAAATAAAATAGTAATAATAAAAGGAGTTTGGGCAAACTGGAAGAAACTGTGCTTTAATGCAATTTTTAGTTGTTCAGTCAAACATTCTCTCTGACTTACAGCTGTTGTTTGTTGGATTTGTGTTTGAAAGGACTGGCAGTTCTTCATCTGTCCTTCACGCCTCTCTACTCTTCTTCAAGTTACTTGGGTTTCACTTCTTTCTTTGTTTGCTGCCCCTCTAATTTTAGTATTGTACACATATCTGACTGCAAGTGACTTGTATGCCTCATTGCCGTGGGATATTGTGGAAGAGAGAAATGTCAATGATTTAAAGAAATTAAGTTTCATTCTGCAGTACTTAATGAGTTGGCTAAAGATGTCTCAATTTCTGGCTGCTGTCTCTAGTGACTTGTAGAGGAAGAATGGATTACCTTAAAATTGGAAAATTGCAAATGTGATACCTGTCTTTAAAAATGAGGAAAAAGAAAAGCTGGAGAATTTTACATAGGTCAGCCAAAAATTCTGAAATGAGTGAATGAACAAACTGTAAACACTTAGGGAGGAGTGAGCAATATCTGGCATAGATTTCTCAAGAGTAAAAGATGCTGAAACATCATAATTCTCTTCTACAGCAGGATAATCAGCTTTGTGAACACAGCCCAGTCCTCTGACTTTTCTGTGGGCACATGATGTTCATGGAGACCTCCACCAGTGGAGGATCCACCCCAGGGAACCTGTTCCAGCATTTCACTGACCTTTATTTACCGTTACAAAATGCTGTATAGTGCTTTACTAGAACTTTTCTTGTTGCAGTTATGGCCTGTTATCTCCTGTGAAGAGTGGACATGAAGTGAATATTACCATATCCTGATGCTAGCAAGACTTTTTGCATGCTTTCATAAAGTATTCTTACAGCAAGCTAGTTGGAGTATTAAAATATTACAGTGTTGGTGCATAACTAGTTGATAGAATTTACACTGAGAGATTAGTAATAAACAGATTGTTGTTGAAATGGAAGGTGGGGTGAGGGGATTTTCAGCTTCCCTCCTGGGTCTGGAACTATCCAATATTTTCATTAACAACTTGGATAGCGGAATATAAAATGTGCTTTTAACATTTGGAGAAAACATGAAGTCGGGACAGACTGTTAGTTTGGCAGAAGGTGGAATCAGAATGGAAAATAATCCTGTAAAGTTGGAGACAGAAGTTACAATGCAAGTGAAGCAAAGGAAAGATTCCCCCCACCCCAGGCAGGAGTATCAGTCGGACAAGTTCAGAACAACAAGAGCCGGGTGGGTGGCAGTTCCTCAAGAAAGGATCTGGGGCTTGTAGAGGATCAGAAGCTTGTCGATCACAAGTCAACAGCATCATGGTGCTTAAAAAAAAAAGGTCAACAATGTATATGGTGCAAGGTAAAGGATCGTATAGATAGGACTGTAGCCAGCATGCATGAAGTAATCATGAAGCTAGTGCTGGGAGATGTCAGCTGTAGTACTGTTTCTGGCTTTTGACATTTTACTTCCAGAAGGATGTGGGCCAGCTGGAGAAGACTGGGGGAAGGATGAGAATAGTTGGAGTGCAGCAAACTTGACGTACAAGGAGACACTGAGAAAACTACAGTTCCTTTGTCCAAAAAGAAAACAAGGACTTGATAACAATCTTTGCATGGGTCAAAAGCCACAGCAGAGAAGAAAGAAATAATCTATTTTTCCTGCTTGTGAGGATAAAACATGGGATGACAGGCTTAAATTGCAACAGGAAAGGTTCTACTTAAGTGCTGTTTGGTTGTTCTTTGGTAAGACATAGAGAAGGCATACAACACGCTTGTTTGCAGCATGTTCCTGCTGGCCTCTTGGATGAACTCTATTTAACATTGTTGCCTTACAGGTAAGGTTGAGTGGCAATGCCTTTACAAATGAGGGCATAGTTTTAGCAGTTTATTTTGTTAGTTCAATTCAAGGCATCCATTTGTACCTTTAGATGAGCAGCAAGTCTGAATCATATACTCGACCGTTGTATGTCATCCTGTTCACCTATTTCCCACCATTTTTCCCCACCACTGCAGCTGGAGAGGGAGGTAAAAATGCTGCTGCCAGACCATGTTCAGTACCAGTAGCTGACAGCTTTCCATGTGCTGCTTCTTGGTCTCTGAAATTTAGAGTCTCTGTGGCTGGACTGGTTATGCTGCATTTTCTAGAGAGAAATAACATTTGTGGTCACTGGTTCATGCTTAATCTTTCAGTGTTAAACTGTATGAAAATGTCTTTTGCAGGAGGGGAAATCGACTGTGTTGATAAGGATGGTAACACCCCTCTGCATGTGGCTGCAAGATACGGACACGAGCTTCTGATTAACACCCTCATAACCAGCGGAGCTGATACTGCCAAGTAGGTGGCTGAAGTGAAGCTGCTTCTAATGATCAATTATGTCCAATGCCTGGAAACACTGTTACTTCTCATGTTCTGAAGTGCGAAGGTTAAAATGGATAAGCATAATTGTGCTGTACTTCAGTGGGTGACATGGGGCTAAGAGATGAACACTTGGGAAGTGTGGAAGGGAAGGAAGCCCTGCTAAGTTCCTACTGTGCTCAGTTATGCAGTTAGAAGTAGTGCAAGTGCTGCTTCTTTTTCCTAAAGCATTGATGTAGCACAACGGTATATAATGTACATGAAGTACATACATATATAAAGTGCATCTTGATCACAGTCATTCCAGAAAGACTGTAGTAGCAATGACTTTGTACAGGAAACTTAATAGAAAAAAATTCAGATGCCTCCCATGGGAATTGTGTGCATATTCCTTAGTAACTAAATTAGCCTACTGTTTAGTGGCCTGTCGTACATGGTGATTATACTTTTGTCTTGTATCTTTAGGTATGGCATGGGATAATCAATAGAAATGCAGTATTGTGAAGCAAGTGTTACTAAGTATTTCTGATTTCAATATAACTAAAGCCTGTCTTGAGGTTGCATGGTTTCTGATATTCAGGTGGCTGCAATAATAGGACTGCTTTTATCTGATTTGCGAGTTTGGGAGTCTTTTTTGAATAGGAGGACAAGGAGTTGAATTGAAATCAGACACATTTCTAAATGTTGTTAGTGCTTTCTGCTTCAATTCAATTTTGGGGATTTTAAAATTTTTTTTCTCCTGCACATGTGTCAAGACTGCACCCACCATATGATATGTCAACTCAAACATTGGCAGGTGCTTGATTTTTAAGAGTACTCAAGAATTGGTTAGTTATGTTCAAGTTCTTATAGTCTGTTTAAAGAAAATAGCAAACCTGAAGGTAAACGAAGGGGTACAAAACCCGAGTAATGTGGTGCCATGAGGGATATCTGTACCAGGTGTTTAAAAGCAGCATCTGATTTCATGATTGTAAGTTTTTGGCAATTACCTCCACATGTCTCCAAAATACAATTTAAGAGTCTTCTACCTGGAACCTACCATAGGAATCAGTGACTTCTCTTGACTTAATTAGGAAAACCTGCTTTCAGATGCAAATGAGCTGGTTTTGATTTTGAAGATACTTGCAGCTCTCTGTATTTTGTTCGTTTGCTTGGCGATGTTTAAGACAGTGTCACATTTGCCCATATTCCTTTATCAAGTACGACTGTCACCATGCAAACTCAGAAGGTGGAACAGATTTTCAATTGGCATGGATAATGAAATTCCACAGGCTTCAGCTAACGTCACTGGGTTTTATTAACATAGCCAGCATGAAGATCTTTGTGTCTAAATAGATGTGTATTTTTCCTAGCTCCTTCTCCAGTACAGTAAGTCTCAGTCTGTTTCTTATCTTGAGGTTTAAAGGGAAAATGAGATGCAGTGGGATAGCCCACTCTAGGAATCAGAGTTATCCAGTTAGAAATTTCTATTTCACACTTGGGTGACTGGAACATTGATCGAATAAGATACTTTTTCCAGCAGCAGAAATAAGTGAATTAAGAAGTTGGCTCAGAGATACCAGGCAGGTCCAAACGATGCTACTCTCTGTGCTAAACAAGAAGCATTGAAACGCTGGGAATGGGCTTTCATATGTGGTGCATGTAAATAGCTCTGGCTGAGCTCCCCAAACTGCAGCGTTGTTCACAGGCAGCTTGGTCAGTCTTTGGGGCAACTGCATTTAAAGGGGAAAGTGTGTAAGTGATGGGAGGAACCAGTGTGAACAGCGCTACACAAGTGTGACACTGGTTAGCAGATGTGCAGATAGCGTATTTCAATGGAAACCGGCCAAAAGTGGAAATCTTAACCTAGAAGAAGAAAAATACTGCTTTAAATAACTAAGTGCAGGAGGAGGTAGAGGGAAATAGGTGCAGGAAGAAACACGGCAATGCAGAATGTCCAATGTTAATTAAAATAAATGAATCCACAGCTAAAAAATGCAACCTGTTTATACAGGTGCAGCATCTTGGTGGAGCTTGTGCTGTTTCCTTCAAAGAATAGGCTGTCAGATCGTCTTTTAATAATTTACTCTAAGATGTAGATGCTGACACTAGCAAAATTTAAAATTTGTACAGCACCACAAGTCACTCTCGTGTAGCGAAGCAGCAAGGAGGATAGATTTAATGTGAAGACAGAGGGAGGATGCGCCTGTGGATTCTGGAAAGGTTTTTAAAAACAAACCAAAATTAGTTAAATACATACATGTATAAAATGTTGGAGAGAGCAAGATCTCTTTATAAACACCCACATTCATTTTTGTCTAAAGCTTCCTAAGTAACTATGATTTATGTTGAGTCCTGCAGAAAGACAAGTTCCTTCGTCTTTGGGTCCGTATCTGAAATCCTCTGCCATGAGGTGATCGTACTCTCCCATCCACCAATTGTCTGGCAGAAATGAAGGGCAGATGTGAATCCGTCTGCTATTGTTCAAGAGTTTGCCATTTTTCAAAAATATATCTGCTGAAGCAGGCAGTAGATGATAATCTTGTTGAGGTAGTTGGTTTCAGAGGCTCCCTGTTTATGTGCACTTGGAGGACTGCCGGTGGGATAATATTTCTAGAATAACAAGATGCTTTTCACAAAACAGTGCTAAATGACAGAAGCCAAGATGGCCAAACCCAATAGTCTTCTAAGACAGTAAACAGCAGCCTGCTTAGGAACTGAACTGGGATGATTTGCTGATATTAATAAAAGTTGCTGAGTGCTCAGCTTGTTTAAAAAACTATGTGGTTGCCTGGTACAGATTTAGCCTAATGATAGGTGCCTACTTTTTTTTTTTTTTTTTTTTTTTTT